TAAAATAATTCAGTTTAAAACAATTAATATAATAATTGTCTAAGTGTTCTCATATTCTCATATTTGTATCCTAATAATAAACATATTACTGATTTGGCTAGAAAATATCAATATAAGATACACAAAGTATAAATAGATGTTTATGTATCTAGAAAACAAAAGCAAGGTCCATCTTGACTCTGGCAGGGGAACACTGTTGTTTGTTCCTTAAACTGCTGGCTAACTCTGAAATACAGTTGGAAGAACCAGCAAAGACATTCCGGAAAAGCTATGGCTGATGCTGTGGAATAGTGGGTTAAGCCACTGTCTGCAGCACGATCATCTTCTATAGGCACAGATTTAAGTCCTGGCTGCTCCACTTTTGGTCCAGCTCCCCAGCTAATGTGCCAGAAAAGAAGAGGAGGTTGGCTGAAGTGCTTGGGCACCTGTAGACATGTGAAAGACTCAGAAGCAGCTCCTGATCCTGGTTTGGACCTAACTTGGTCCCAGTCATTGTAACCATTTTTCGGGGAGTGTGAACTGGAGAATCAAAGAGCTCTCTCTGTCTTTCACTCTTTCTCTCTGTAAATATGCCTTTTGAATAGATAAATCTTTTTAAGTAGCTTTCATATATTCTAGTAGAATGCAATTATGATTACTATTAATTTACTTATTCTTCCACAAAACTCTAATTTGCTAAGAAATTATTATGATATATAAGTTTAATTCAACCCTTTTTTAAAATAAATATTGCCTTTCTCATAACTGCACTGAAACAAATTTGTCATAATTACTCAGTACTCAAATTCTGACTCAGATTATTAGATCATATTTATAGAGCCTCACTATTTTGCTACTTCTTTAGGAAAAAAATCTATTTTTACTTTGAAGGCAGAGTTACAGAGAGGCGAGCTAGAGAGTGATCTCTGTCATTTGCTGGTTCATATCCCAGTTGGCCGCAACAGACAGAACTGGGCCTATCTGAAGGAACCAGGAGCTTCTTCCAGGTCTGACACATAGAAGCAGGGCACAAGTACTCAGGCCATTCTCTGCTGCTTTCAGAGACTGTTCACAACTGAATCAGAAGCGGAGCAGCAGCCAGAACCTGAACTGGTGCCCATTTGGGATGCCAATGCTGCAGGCAGAGGTTTAACCTAATTTGCCACTGTGCCAACCCAAACTTTTTCATTATTATTTTGACTGTAGGATCAAAATAATGGTATAATAAAGTTTGGATCTGGTCAGCAGCGTTGAGTTACAGAGCCAGTATATACTCTGAACATGAGAAAACTTCCAGAATTACTGCAAATTTCATCATGTTCCATAATTTTCACATACTTGCACAAAAATATTCCATGTATTTGTGTTAATGTACAGTACAAATATATTAAATATGCTAAGCCTTGTTCTCTTTTAGGCTCACAACCTAAAATGAGCAATAATAAGAACAGATTATCTGAAACGGATATTAATTAATTATGTGTACATGTTAAAAGAACTAGAGAGCTGGAAGAGGTGTTAAAGCATCACGACTGACCGGCTTCTGTTTATCATATCTGCTTAGTAGAATGTCTCTCCTTTATTTAAGGATTTATCTATCATTTTGATACAGTTCTTGCTTCACTAATGTGTTTCCAACTCATCTTGATTGTTCTCTGGAAGATTTCTCACAATGAACTTTCTCATTCTGTTTCTATCATACTCGCCCTTCATGTCATTCTTACCATTTATATGATTTTTTCATCAAACTTACTGTCACTTCCACACTTGTTCTGGTCTAGAGAACCAGGAACAATATGAAATACATGCACAGACACATAATACTGGCCATTTAAAAATTTTTTTTGAAGTGTCTGTTCAAATTCTTTGCCTAACTTTTAACTGAATTATCTTTCTTTTTATTGTTAAATTCAAGAAGTCTTTATATATTCTGAAAACAAATTCCTTTGAAGAGGTATGCTTTAGAAATAACTTTCCCCAATGCTCTGGTTTCTCTTCAGATCGTATTTATCTTTTGCCTTTTACAAACAGCTTTTCCCGTTCAGTCAGTTGTCTTTTCACTTTCTTGAAGGTGTTATTTATGAAATTAGACTTTTTGTTTTGATGTGATTCAGATTATCTTGTTATTGCTTCTGCTTTTGGTGTCATATCTAAAAAAACACCATCTAATCCAGTGTTGTTAAATTTACTTGTGTATCTTCTTTGAAACTTTGCTTATGTCTTGATAGCGCTTACGTTTAGGCCTATGGTTTATTTTTATTTAGTTTTTTGACATGTGGTGTGAAGTTAAGAGTCTTGCTTTACCATATTGTATGTGGATATCTCATTTTCTTAGTGCCATTTGTTGAAAGATTTATTTCCCCCTCCTTGTTGAAAATCAGTTGACCTTGGGACCAGCACTTTGGCGTAATGAGCAAAGCCACTGCCTGTGTCACCAGTATCCCTTATAGGTGCTGGTTTAAATCCCAGCCACTGCACTTCTGTTCCAGCTTCCTGCTAATATGCCTGGCAAAGCAGCAGAGGGTGGCCCAAGTGCTCGGGCCCTACACCCATGTGGAGACCCAGAAGAAGTTCCTGACTCCTGGTTTGGACTCAGCTAGTTCTGGGCTATTTGGGGAGTGACCCAGCATACTGAAGATCTCTCTTTCTCTCTCTTCCTCCTCCTCGTCCTCTCCCTCCTCACTCTCTATAACTCTGCTTTTCAAATAAACACATCTTTAAAAAAAAAAAGAAAGAAAAAGTTAACCTACAAAAGATGTAGGGGTTTATTTCAAGATTCTTAATTCTATTCAGTCATTTCTATTCTTATGGCTGTATGGCACTCCAATGTGTAGTAGCAGACTGGATCATCTAACTTTACTCTTTTGAAAAATAGTTTTGGCTGCTCTGGATCCTTTGCATTTCTGTAAAATATTAAGATCAGCTTCTCACTACAGAGAAGCCAGCTTGGGTTTTGCAGGTATCTTGTTGACTCTGTAGATCAGTTTGAAGCATATTGTCATCTTCAATATATCGTCGTGTTCTATAACCATGGTGTGCCTTTTTTGTCTTTTCTTTCTTTATACAGTATTTTGTGATTTGTGGTGTACAGATTGTTTACTTTTTTAAAAAATTATTTTATTTTTTCTTCTATTGTTACTGAAATTTCTTAATTTCATTTCAGTTTGCTCTCTGTTAAGTGTATAGTAATAAAATTGATTTGTTAGTATTGCTTTTTTAGATTCTATTTTTTTAAAAGGATTTATTTTTATTATTTTTTTTATTGGAAAGGCGGATATACAGAGAGGAAAGACAGAGAGGAAGATCTTCCGTCCGATGATTCAAATATGCCAATCCGAAGCCAGGATTCAGGAACTTCTTCCGGGTCTCCCACGCGGGTGCAGGGTCCCAAAGCTTTGGGCCGTCCTTGACTGCTTTCCCGGGCCACAGGCAGGGAGCTGGAAGGGAAGCGGGGCTGCCGGGATCAGAACTGGCGCCCATATGGGATCCGGGCATGCAAGGCGAGGATCCACTTAACCACTTGCGCCACCGCGCCGGGCCCAGATTCTATATTTTAAGAGATTTATTTATTTGAAAGGCAGAGTTATAGAGAAAAAGAAAGTTAGCTATCCATGTATTGGTTCGCTCCTCAAGTGTCTACAACAGCTGGAGCTGGATCAGCCTGAAGCCAGGAGCCTGGAACTCCATCCAGGTGTCCCCTGTCAGGGGCCAGGTCCCCAATTCCCAGACCATCATCTGATGCCTCCAGGTATATTAGCAAGAAGCTGGATTGGAAGTGCAGGGCAGCTAGGACTTAAACCAGGCATTTTAATGTGGTTGTCTGAGCAGTAGCTTAACCCACCTCACTACCACGCCCTTCCATACATGTTTGTATTCCACCCCTGTGAACTGTTTCAGTTGGAACTTTTTCTCCTTTTCATTATTTAGCATATTGTGTTCCCCAATGGATGATGTTTTCCAATCAGTGATGTATCAGCTAACTATACATGGTATGTGAATGGGCCTTTTTTCCTTTATAAATATTTAAATGCCTTCATGTTTGTAAAATCTGTTTCAAAGAGTGTTAGAAGAGATATTCTTGACCCACAATTTCCAGTGTCTGCTCAGAATTGTCCTTGTGAAGATCCCCCTTCACTTTCCTTCCTTCAATTTTCCCTTTATGTCACTTATCATCACCTCACATATCATGCACAAATGTATACGCACAACACGTGTGTGGGAATGTGCTTGCTCTCCATTTCTCTCCAGTGTGATGGACGCTCCATGTGGAAAGTGACTTTGTTTTAGTCTTTGTGGGATCATATTTGCCTTTGGACATGGGTACCCAGTAAATATTTGTTGAATCAATGGTTGGTTGTTTAGAACATGGCTAATTTTTAAAGCAGTTTTTAAAATGTATTAAGATAGACAGATGTTGCACTTCTGGTTTGCTCCCTAAATGTCTGGAACTCCTGGAGCTGGGCCAAGTTAAAGCTAGGAGCTGGAGTTTTAACTTTGGTCCCTCTTGGGTGGTAGGCTCTCCAGTACCTCCCATTGTATATATCCACACAAAGCTAGAATCAGAAGTGGAACCAGGACTCAAATCCAGGCATTCTAATGCTTTTTAAAAATATTTGTTTTTGTTTTGTTTTAAAGAAAAGGAAGTCAATTTCAAGTTTAATTTAGAAAAATACTAAATAGTAGGTCAGGAGGTATGCAATTGTGGCAAAAACTTAAAGTTGTTCGGAATGATAGTAGTTTAGAAGTTCCAACTTACGGAATGAGGAGAGGTGAGATGAAGTTTTTATCATTTTCTGTAAGATGAGAAGTTACCTGTTGGCTCCCAAACCCCCTTGGTACCACAGGTGACAGGTCTCTTGAGGCTCTTAGCCAGTAACATGTGGAATTAGATATAAGTGAGACTGTGGCTCCTATCCCTTGCCACAGAAACCCTCTTGGCAGTTTTGGAGGTGATCTGAAAAATACTCAAGATATTTTGGCTGGCATGGAAACTTGATTTACAGGCTGTATCTTCTTTGCAGGGCTCTGGCTTTGCAGGGAGCCGAAATGACCATGACTGCCAACAAGAATTCCAGCATTACCCATGGAGCCGGAAGCACTAAGGCCCCCCGGGGGACTCTGAGCAGGTAGGTGGTGGAGAACATTGCTGAGGGATGACATCAAGCCAAACAGCTGCAGTCTGCCAGAATGTACATCATGGGCATCATCATGACTGTGACCATCATCCAGCTGCCTGGGCTGGGCCCAGGTCATGCTCCCCATTAAGTAGATGTATTCTCAATATATAAATGCCATTTTTTTAGTTCTATAAGTGTGCAGGTGTTACAAGCAGAAACCCTAGAATAAGCTTTGCCTTCTGCTCTTGGAGGTTCCTAGCATTCTGGGAATAAGGCTACCAAACACAAATAATATTCTTCTGGTTGTACCTTCTTCCAGGGTGGGAAGGTTCTAGGCTTGTGTAGATGTAGGCTGCAGGGTAGTGAGAGGTTGGCCACACTAGGGAAGGGCGACTGGGCAGTTGTGCATATTAACACATGATAAGCAACTTGGGCGGGGGGGGGTGGGTTAGTCTGTATAACCTATAATCCACTTTTCTGATTTTGTTTCCTTTTGTAAAGTAGAACTGCAAAACTATAGAAAAACCATGGGTTTGAGATTCTTTAGAAAGGTTAGTTTACTTTTACTTGAAAGGCAGATTTAAGATGGAGAGAATGAAAGAGAGCCTCCATCTGCTGGTTTACTCCCCAAATGCAATGGCCACAGTAGAGCTGGTTTAAAGCCAGGAGTTTCTTCCGGGTCCCCGACATGGATGCATCCTAGGTGTTGGGTGATAAGTGGAGCAACTGGGATACAACTGGTACCCATATGGAATGCCGGCATTAGGACGAGAGGAGGCATTAGCCTATTGAGCCACTGAGCCAGCCCCAAGTTTTGGAATCTTAAAGAATTGGATTCATACGCAACCTTTACATACCAACTCTGGAGATTTCAGAATTTTTTTCCTGTGCCCCTAAAATCTTGGTCACCTCATCTATAATATATTGATAATAAGGTAGTGCTTATCTCAGAGTCTTTGTGAGGATTAAGTGAGATAATGTATGTCATTGTGTAGCAGAATGGCCAGTCTAAAGCTATTCGGTAAATGTTAGCTCCTTCCTTACAATAAAAGCTTGCAGAACTGGCAAATAGATATACAATGCTCTCTTACCAGACCACCTCAGGTTTTGGCTAAAGCCAGATGCTAATGTGTGAGAAGATCCAGGCACCTATTTAGAGCCAGTTAGCTTTCATAGCCCCTTCTGCTATACCTCAGGTTGACACATTTGGGCTTGGGACCCATAGCCTCTAGGATAGGCAGCTATGAGAAAGATGCTGTGCTTCAGTAGAATGGGGGCTGCTTCCTTCCAGGATATCTGGGCTGTATAGGGCTACACCAAGCTCAGTGGGGTATGGTACACTTAGGTCTGGCCAGAGGTGGTGGTAGATACTTGCCTCGTCGAGTTCAAGATAAAGTTGGGGAAATAGGGAACAAGATGTAGCCCCTGGGGAATTGTTGGCATGGTCGAGGAGGGATTCCCCGTAATATACACATAGGACTTGGTCCCAGTAAAAACATTCTAGATAATCTATGCTAGATAAGCAGGGATTGGTAAACTCTTACAGATGACTTGTTAAGAACACAAGCGTTTGGGGCCCAGTGCTGTGGGGTAATTGGCGTCCCATATGGGTACCAGTTTGAGTCCCACATGCTCCAGTTCCAACCCAGCTCTCTGCTGCTAATGGCCTGGGAAATAGAGGAAGGTAGTCTAAATGCTTGGGCCCCCACACCTGTGTGGAAGACCTGGAAGAAGCTCATGGCTCCTGGCTTTGGACCAGCCTAGCTTTGGATCGAAGATTGACTCTCTAATCCTGCCGTGTAAATAAATAAATCTTTAAAATAAATTAATTAATTAAAAAGTGCTTAGGACGTAGGCAGACAAACTAAACTGAATACCAGGAACTAAACTTCTCTACCAGGAAGACCAATTTTAAAAACCCCTATGCCTGTAACCCTTCTGATCTATAGTGGTTTCATAGCATACCTGCTTTCCTGACCTGGATGGGGCTGAGATCTGCAAAGACCAGCAACTTCCTAGCTGGACCAAGTGGAGGAACCAAAGTCTTCCACAGCACATTGGTTGGCCAGGCAGAAACAAATCTGGATTTCAGTCTTTGTTTCTCGTTGCATGCTGGTGGGACCAACCTTGCTGGGCCCTCGTGCCTTGTCTTACTCAGTCTCACCATGATTGAGCTGGCAGTCAGAGACTCAGAATTAAGTTTCATATGGCTAGTTGCTTTTTTTTTTTTTTAAACATCAGCCTCCTATAGTGGTGAACTAAACATATGTGACTGCATAAGTTTAGTTTTTATTTCAGACTGATGTATTTCTGATGTATTTTAGAACCTTCCTTGGAGACCACCATGCCCAGAAGCCCTCCAATGCTTTATTCACCTTTTTCTTGCAGCTTGCACCCTGCAGTGTTGAGGTGGGATGGAGTGTGTGGGAGTGTGGGAGGTGCAGTATGTATATCAAGTGTCAAATCAGAATCAACACTTGTGCTAGGAGCCCCAGTTTCTATTTGGAATGCATGCCACCCTGTTTCTAAATGTCTTCAGAAGTTGTTCCTTTAGCTTCCCAGCAAGTGTACTGGGCAGTGTTTGTAAATATATGAGTCTCAGATGTGCCTAAAAAAAGCACCCTGCAGCTTCGGCCTTGTAGGTCTTCACTTGCTTCCTGCCACATTGCTGTTGCTCTGCCCCGCTCCCTCCCTCCCTGGGAACCTGGCCTTAGCCAGAGAGTCACAGCGCTCTGTGGCTAGCCCCACCCTTTTCCCAGAGGCTACCCCTTGGCTGTAGGTGTCAGGTAGGCATTATGGTCTGGTGGTTTCTCCACCACATCCAACATGTTCTTTGGTCTGAGTAAGGCAGTTAGTCACCGATTCATTTAAAAGTCGTTGTCCGTGAACTCCAAGGGTCCTTCTTGGTGCCCAGGCTGTTTGCGACACACTGGGGAAAAAGAAATGATCTGGTCTGTCTCTCCAAGCATTTACAACTTGGATTGCTGATGTGGCACCTCAATTTCCTAGTCTGAGCTTTTCAACTGAGCTGTAATCTGGTGCCCTTTTATTATTGCCAGTTTAGGAATCCATGGAGGAGGTGTGGGGGGAGGCTCCTTGCTGTGCTTGGAGCTTTGGTTGGGGAGGACAGTGGTGCCAGAGCTGTGGAGGGCTGGACCTGAGACTGCCTGCCGCTTTGGGGACCTCCAGGTCATCTCTGTACAGAGGAACCCAGGGGCACTGACAAGCTTTTTTTTTTTTAAGATTTATTTTTATTATTTTTTTATTGGAAAGGCGGATATACAGAGAGGAGAGACAAAGAGGAAAATCCTCTGTCCGATGATTCACTCCCCAAGTGAGCGCAAAGGCCGATGCTATGCCGATCCAAAGCCAGGAGCCTCTTCGGGTCTCCCACGCGGGTGCAGGGTCCCAAAGCCTTGGGCCGTCCTCAACTGCTTTCCCAGGCCACAGGCAGGGAGCTGGAAGGGAAGTGGGGCTGCCGGGCCAGAACCGGCGCCCATATGGGATCCCGGGCGTGCAAGGCGAGGACCTTAACGACTGCGCCACCGCGCTGGGCCCACTGACAAGCTTTTAGTTTAGCGCTTGGGGAAGGGAGAGCTCTGGGACGTGGAGAACTGGTAGAGTTGATCAGATGGGACCCTGCGGAACATTCAAGAGATAAATCTTGGCAAAACTGTATCCTTATTTCCTGAAAGACTTCATCTGGGGCTATAATCAGGCCATTCTGGGTTTAAGGTCCTGGATCCCAGTCACTGGGTTTTCACAGATGTTTCAGTGATGTATTCCCTTCTGTTTCCTTCATGGTCCCACATTGGTTTGGCAGGAACATGGTGAACTGAAAGTGATGACTGCCTAAGTTTGTTCTTTGCTGTGCCTTGGTCTCCTGGAGCAGGTTTCTCTCTTTTTTTTTTTTTTTTTTAAGTGAGGGGGAATGGACATGTGACCTTATAACTTACCTGCAACAGATTTAACTACATCCAGCTCTGGGTTGGGGGATGGGATTCTCAAGGCTCCTGCGGATTCCAGGTTTTACTGTACTGCTCTTGATTGCCTGGGGTGAAGCCAGAGGTCGCTGGGTGACTGGCAAATAAGGAAGTATTCGGATTAGAGCTGATTCACCTGCTTCAGTGGGGTGACCTATGCTGCTTGCTGATCTTCAAGACTAGCAGACAGCATGGGCTCTTCTCAGAAGAGCTGCTTTGTTAGCTGGTTCCTTGCCAAGCTCTTCACTGTGTGTCTCCAGCACCTGGGTCCCTGCCTCTTGGACGTACAAGCTGTCTTGGGTTTAGGAATCTTGCTTCTGGCTATGGGTCTGGAAAACCTGGGTAAGAATATAGGCTTCCTGCATTCTATATTGACATATATTTTTAGAGCCCTGTTTGGCATGTAGGAGAAATGAACTAATGTTGTGGTACAGCGCATTAAGCTACTGCTTATAATGAAGGCATCTCATTTGAGCACCAGTTCTGATCCAATTCCCTAGTAATGTGCTTGGGAAAGCAGTGGGTGATGGTTGCAGTGGTTGGGCCTGAACCTGATGGAGTTCCAAGCTTCTGTCTTTGTCCTGGCCCAGCTTTGACCTTGTGGCCATTTGGGGAGTGAATAAGCAGGTGGAAGGGCTGTTTTTGTCTCCCTTCTATCACTCTGCCATCCAAATAAATTAATTAATCTTTAAAAAGAAATAAATAAAAGACCAGTCAGACCATGGAAAGCTTTACAAGACAGATAAAGTTTAGTGGCCACTTAACCCATGGCACCACCATGCTGGTCTCTGGCCTTTCCTTCACTTTTATCTTCAGTGTCCTCTAATATGAACTTCCCTTTCCTGCTAGTCTAGATGTAAAAATGACTGTCTCCCAGTGTCTTTCTTGACCACACAGCTAAGAAAGTTCCTACACCTCTACTGCATTGGCTTTTACAACCCTTGCTTTGGAACTGCCAAGTGATATTTGTCTTATAGTACCCCACAGGGTGGATATCTGTGTGTCTCGTTTCCTCAGTCACCTGCC